TAAAATAAACAGACAAGCGAACAGTCATCCAAAAAATAAACGAGCAAATGAATAGATAAATGATAAAAATTAAAGGGACATCGCTATTGACTCATTAATAAGAGGCTAGCTTGAGGTTTTGGCAAGTCAAACGTTAAAGTTCGGATAAGATCAACCCAGAGGGAGCCATCTAATCGTTTAAGTATACCCCACTGACCGATCTATCAAACAACAAAAACTATTTTTATTCCAGAAACTTCAGCAAAACAAGAAGTTGAAATGGTTTCGTCAAAGATTGAGCAGCTCCCGCTGTGATCTATCGATCAATAGACGGCCCCTTTGTAGCCAATCAGATCACAGATAGCTCGTTTACTGTATGGTCGATCGGTCAGTAGGTTATGTTTAAGTGCAATTCTTGGACTAAATATTAGTTTCATCAGTTATACGTTAAAAACATTTACAACGTTTTATGACGTTTACGGTCTTTAGGGCTCCATTGTTGGCATACAAAACTTTCTTCTCAGTGGACATGGGGCGACATTTACCTCCAGTCTCTCTGGGTGGAGATGACAGCATACACACTTTGGGCGGGACGTTAGAGCCTGGACGCCATACAGGATTATCCACCCTGTAAAGAATAATAAGCTCACGATGAAAGTCACGTGACCTTGAGTGCATCATTCTTATAAAATCACATGTTTCTTTGTGTTGAGTATATTTTACGAGTCATTCGAATTGACAAATCTACCGTCATTTGCTTAATTTTTACCACATAGCAGGCATACGTTTTTAAGTTTTGAACCGGTATAGGAATGATCCCTTGTTTACATAGTATGGAAAAGATTCTCACCAATGAATACAACGTCCCTTCTTTCTTCCGGAACATTCTCCAACACAGCGCCCGACATCAATGACCTGCAGAAACGAGAACAGTGTTAATCTTCGAACCCTAGCTTCCCCTCTAGCTTCCAAATATGTTTGTATAACATAACCTGACGTATTGTTCTCATGACGTCGAACAAACCTGTTCCAGTGTTTCATTTCTACTAGTATTCTCGTCAAACACAGTGGCACTGTACAACTGATGGAATGACACACGGTGACAGCTTCGCGTACAGCTACACCTGAGCACTTTCTCAACACAATGAGCGCCTGTGGAATCAGCCAGAAATAAAATAAAGTGACAGTTGAAAAAATCGAAAGAAAATCGAGTTACGTTAAACTGAAAAGAATGCCATATTCATGAAATAATTTATACGTTCCTTAGTCAAGGCGCAAACGCGCAGAGCTATTAAACTATCAGTGCGTCCGATTCCAAATTCAGAAAGCCCCGATCACTGCTTTCACATGGTCTTTCCTCCAAAAACACTTTTATCTCATGTTGGCTCTCTTTTCCAGAAAATCGAGGAAACATCGAATGCATTTTATTTCAACTCGAATTAACAGAGTGGCTCTATTGAGCTAATATCTTCGAGAAAGAAAAATTCATAAAACAATTTAAGTATAAAATACTTCATTTTCTTTTCTTCAGTTCTGAACCGCATCGAGACAGAGTTTTGATAATCATCTTGACACAGTGGTCCTTGGACTCATAAGCCTGAGAGGCATCACTTAACAATCATAAATGACTTGGCTTAATACAGAGAGCGCAAAAATGGTTACTAGAAACAAACTTACCGTTTGGACCCTTAACGCTAACAATTTTACTGGCAATGAGATGACAAGTCTTCTTTCCTGTCACAAGAAAAATGATATTGCTTCTACTTAATGTCAATCATATTTTAAAATCCCCATGGCCACCCAGCCTTTAGTAAAAGCACTTATATTCCGGTAGTAAGTAGGAAAAAATAATATCGGTAACTCCCGGCGACATTTTATGATATCCTTGGCGATATTTTCTTCTGTGAAACATACACCACCAGATGCATAATTGATAGGTGACTACTGAAAGACCACGTTCGGGCGCAGTCCATGTAAAATACCTTTACTGCAGGAGCCAACGCACTGGCCAGTGTCTACGCTTCTCTCGTACGTTGTTCCCCAGTGGAATACCCGAATGTTGTTCTTTCTGAGGCAAGGAGGGCGTGGATCAAGGCAACTGCAGTTTAGAGCGCTCGTGACCTCCTTTAGACCGTCCAACAGAGCAAGTTGCTCAACTAAACTTTCATTGGCCACGCACATTCGAGGGGCTGTGCAAGGCTGAAGATGAAAGTTAATATCAGTTTTATGTTGAATAAACGCGAAATAAGACTGTCATTTAATGCAGGTGCCAATCCAAGCGTACTAAATTCTTCCTTTGCGAGATATTGACGAAATTTGATGTCCTTTCTTTCAAAACACGATCGAGCGTTCCTGCATGAAAATGTAACTGTTTTATCCGTGTGCTAAAAATCTAAAGCTGGCATACGGGGCTTTAAGCACTAACCGAGAAGAAGAGAATTTAAACATGTTAAAAGCACTAGTTTTCTGAGACAATTAAGAAAACAAAGAACTTTTCAGTGTCCAATTTTAATGTATCGGCATATGATCATTTCTTTTTTGTTCGTGTAGACTCAATTGTTACCCTCATCTAATCGATACCAGATGATGGCAAAGGAAACATAAAAGATTGCCACACAGAATAAATCATTTAATTTTTACCATTCTGTGGCTTGATTCAGCCTTTTCTGCCGTTTGGACTGAAGTGATACGGCAAAGATTGACATTTCTGTAAATGGGCTGCAAATCTATACCTAAAAAAAAAAAATAATAAGGATAGGGCCAGTCAGTATACGTTAGACAATCAAAGTGCTATAAAATGGAAATGAAAAGGCTAAGTTAAACTTAGAAAAGATAGATAGGCTGCGATGGATTAAGTATGCAGAGTTTATAAACGCCAAACTAGCTCTTAGCAGCATAAATATCTTCACTAATCGGATAAGTTAATGCGATGTATCTTTCACCTGTTTCAAAGCTCATCCGCCGGTTCAGCAAGTGAGTTAGCTAGATTCGCCAAAAACGGACGAAGGATACTGATTTTAAGTCATGTGTGCAAAGTTTCAACGTCGATCAGGGTCGTAGCTAGTGAGAGGCAAACCGAGGCACTGGCCTCAGTCATTTTCATCGTTTCGTTGTTTATAGTTATCATAAGCAAGCAATCTGGGAAGCGAATTTAACAATGCACATTGCCTCAGTCATAATGTTTTTTAGTTACCGCCCTGCCGATAGTCGGTCAGATGCGTTTGAACTGAGATGAAAGAGGTGGACCGGTAGATTTAACCATTTCAGTCCAAGTTATTAGTACTGATAGCAATACTAAAAGCAATATTTATGAGTTACCTTGTCCATAATTTTGCTTCTGACTCACCAATCCACAGAAGCGTATCGTGCTTTTGGCTTGTGAGCCGCCATGAATCATCTGCCGGCTGAAGAAATCTTTAGAAGAAGATGTGAATCGAATGTGAAATAAAAAGCTCGTCAGTTTACTAGCAGTTATTTTTTTTTTACATTTGGTCTCTGTTTTTGTTGCCGAATAATCCTGTTCAATTTATTCTTTCCCATACTTTCGGCCGGAGCGTAATTGGATATGTCACATTAACGGGAGGTCAATTGCTCCGTGTTAACAGTTAACGTAAGAAAATGTTCCTTTTTTCGAGAACTGACATTTGGCTGATCTTGTTCAAGCGTACTTAGTTAGAATGAAAAACTCTTAAGCTAATTTATGGCAAATTATTTTGATACGATCAAGAGAAGAATAATAAAACAAACTGAAAGATAAATAAGAACCGTGTACCTGTCTCCTTGCCTTTTCCCCTGGATTCTTCCTTCTGTTCGCTCATGGGAAAGTGTGACTTTAAACGTCCTTCAACTACTATAAGGAACAGACTTATAAGTATTAGCAGCGAGGTCTCACATGTCACAGTCATCTTATTTTCCATCTCTCAGGTCACAACTTGAAATTTATTTTTCCAGTTGGCGTTTATCAACCCCTCCTCACGGCCTCTCTCCTTCTGCCAAAGACGTCACTGTGGCCTATTTGCCAAGCTTAAGGACAAAGTAATGACGCAGTATTAGAATACAAAAGACTTTCCATTGCTGAAAACCTACTGGATTACAGGTGCGGGCCTTTGTTCTTTGATACCTCTTGTTCTGTATACATTACGGCACGTGCACTATTTTAGCTTTGATTAGCTTGCACTACAAGTACATTGCTTACTGCTTGCAACTACAGTATAATTTTTCGTGATTAGAAAACAGTTCCAAGAAGATACGCGCGCTGATTGGTTAAAAATCGTGTTTCTATTTAAGGGGGCCGAACACAAAAAATGAAAAAAGTCTAACGACTGGATTTTTTTTAAATAAACAAAAACTATTTTTTAAGCCTTGTTTTTAACCAGCCCCGTTGCCATGGCAACACCACACACCTTAGTCAAACTGCGAGAATAAACTTTTCTGTGGTTAACCTTGACTCTTGCAAAAAACGAGCGCCAAAGCATAAATAACTTAAAAGTAATGGTGAATTAGGCATAGGCTCTTGAAAACTGTATTTGGCCACCTTAACAATTAGATTATGAGCTCGAGATTTCTATGAGGTGATAGTTCATGAGGCCTTCGGCCTCATCAACTGTCGCCTCATAAAAATCGAGAGCGAATAATCTAATTGTTTGACATCTACAGTTGTGTGTGCGCGTTTATCAGTTTCTTTTAAAAATTTCGAGCTTTTTAATTCCAGAAACCGTAAACGCTCTCCTTTTAGTCTTCTTAGGAATTTTGTTTCAGTTGTTACTAAATGTTCTTTCGAAACTTCGGAGAAACGAGGAAACGTTGTAATTTTTTCAACCACACCAAGCCACTGCACACTAATGGCTGATAGTGTGCAATGGCTCAGCCAATCAGATTACAGCATTTGCATTAGTATACTAGTAGAATTCTACTAAAACTCGATAAAAACACGGTACATGTTTTCTATTTCTTAAATATCGCGCAAGTAATTTCAAAAGACGGGCGAGCGGCCCAAACGGAGAGCAGGAGACTGGGATTGAATATAAAAATTTCCGCTGGGATACGAGGGCTATACAGAAGGCCATCGTCGCGGGCGCAGATTCCAGAAGAGTATCTGTAAACGACTGAAGACAAGACAATGGCGTTGTTAAAAAGTGTTTGGAAACTTGGAATTTTTTATGCATTTCTCGCCAGTAACGGTAAGTAATAAGCTTTTTGCCACTAATCAAACTTTTCTAACCCTTTTATGAACGCGCATATAGTCAATAAAGGCAAAGGTTTATGACACCTAGCTTGTTTCGGAGTAAACGTCTGCAGGCTCTTTGCGGCCGTATAGTGAAAACAATGACGCGACCTTTTATAGCTTTTTATATTGCCATTGTTGTTTCATAAAAACGAATAACTTGAACTAGAGAACCAATATTTCTTCATTTTACCTTTATCTGTAAATAAGTTACTGGAACGCAATGTCATTTATCTGTCTCTAACTGTAGCAAAACAAAAAAACATTAAAAACAACGGTAAACAAAAACATTTAAATCGAACAATCGAAGGTTGATCATTGTAGTTAAAGTGGTCTAAAGAGAGCGTCACTATTTGTTGATACCATGCGAGTTTACATTTTATATTAGTACATCTGAAGATAGATATAACGAAGTTAAGGCCTGGTTCATACGTCGCTTTTCTGCCTTGTCGCATTCAATTCAATTAAGAGCGGCAGAAATGCGACTGTCGATTCATACGTCGCACTTGTGTTGAACTTAATTCAGAATTAATGCTGTCGGGTATGTCGGTCAACGGAAAATGTCTGAAATGTAGAGTATTCAATATGACTGTCCGAGATACTGAGGGACGAAGGACTTTAATTTTGCGAAAATTATCCACCAATGGAATGAGAAGGAGAAGGCTGACAATGCAGCAGTTTGTTTTGCAATAAGCTCAGACTGCATTGGGACGAGAATAGCCAAATTTCTTCCTTCTCTTTGGCGGGACCAAATTTACGCATACTCAATACATTAACATGATGTATGAATTAGATTCAACACGGCAGAAATTTGATGTTTGAATTGGTGTTACATTTCTAGATCTGTCGGATAGTACGACAAGACCAGTCGAACATGCGGCAGAAATGCAGTGGCCGATTCAGACGTTGAATTTGTGTCGAATTTAATTCGTTGAATTGAATTCGACGTGGCAGAAATGCAACGTATGAACTGGGCCTAAGGTTGGGAGGTTACTCAGATCTTGAGGACATATGGAGTTTAATACAGCTCTGTTCCAGCTAACATAAAGTTAACCCACTCATCATTTAGTTTTCAACTGAAGCCTACTAAAATACACATAGCTATATATATTTTGATTTCTAACTAGTACTCAGCATTTTCAAAATTGAAAATGGTTATGGATTTTCCAGACAGTTTCAATTAATATGTACAATATTTTCATATAAGTAAGTAGGTTAAATGAAAATATTGTAAGTAATGGATAGAAATTGAATTTTAGTTTGTAGTAGTTCACATTGTAAGTAGTTTCAGCAGTATTTTGTCGTGTGTTAATTAAAATAAAATAATAGTAATAACAAGAAAACAGTTTCAATATGTAGTGCAAAAGTTAATTTCAGACGTAAAGTAGGCGCTTTTCAACTGAACTAAGATAGAGTGTCGTACAGTACCCAATAAATGTACTGTATTTTCTTGGAAAGAAAGGAGATTTTTCTCCTTATGTTAACTTGAGACCACAGTCTTATAAAGACTATTATGTCTGCATGGACAGTAAGGCTACCCAGTACACAAATGTGACCACATGTGTTGAAAACTTTATCAATTATTGGTTAAAAACATCTGGTTTGGTAGGAAAATATGCAAAATACCTCTGTATAGTCTGTTCCACTTTTCTTGTGTAATTTTAAGGGGTCTCCAAACTTACTTTCAATGAGCAAAGAAAGTACTGTCTCATAGCCCATTGGCTAGTGGATTTTGCAGTTGGGCTACTTGCCTGACAGGCATGTGAGGTTGTTTGGGAACTTTTTGAGTAAATTCAAATTATGGAAGTATTGCAAGAGGATAAATTTTCTGTGGCTAGTGAGAATGATTTCAGGCCAGTATGTAATGTTATAGTTACAGCAGAGCTGGCTGTCAAAAGAACATTCATTTAGTTCCTTGAATGATGTTTCAGGCAGTGACCCAACCTTCATTACTGCAAGGCAATTGTTAATAAATAAATGAATAATGTTGACAAGTATGGTATTTTGAGCCATCCTTGTTGTTGAAAGCGGCATATTAACCATTACTGCTAATGATTTAACTCTTATTTTTCTGAACAGGCTTGGTTTATGGTTTATCATCTCTGATAATAAATGCTACGTCTGTGAAAGTTGGCTATTTATGGGATAATCCAAGACAGGAAAATGTAGACACTTCAGAGGTAGTAATGGACAGTAAACACTCATCAAGCATACTTAGATTGATTTGCGATGTTTTACCACCATTACCAAATGATGGAGAACTTTGGGAGAAAAAAGATGAACTTGTGAAGTGGTATAAAGTGGGTCCCAAGACAGAGGAAGTGAAGAGAATGCGTTATTGGTCCAGTGATATGACAAAGACTGCCATTTCATTCTCAAATGTAACACTTGCTATTCTTGGAACTTACTCATGTAGCTATGGTGATATTTCAGCCACCATTGATGTTTTAGGTGAGAAAAGTATATTAACAGTATAAGTATATGTATAAACTAACATGTAAATAACGTACATCACGACCGTACTATTGCAGAACTAAAATTATAGGTAGGGGTGTTAGTTTGAAATACTCTCTGTTTTCAATGTTAGTGAGTTTACGCAGGTTAACATTTACATTCACTTAATCAAGAAATGTACGTACATGTACAGAATCTTTTTCAAGAATCCACCTTTCAAATATTTGGATTTCCTTCCAAAAACTTTTCCCCAAAATTTGAGTTGCCAAACTCTGGGTGCAGCTTCTCCGTGAGTGCGGCTTATCTGCTGGTGTTTACAGTACAATTTGTTCAAAGAGTTCATAGAGGTAAAGTCTAGATCAAAGATGTTTGGAGGGAGATATCAATTGTGTTGGCATGAGAATCTTACACTGTCTACTCTTGCAATGATATCAATTCCACCCTGAGATGTCTTAGAATTCAATGGTCAAATTAAAATGAAGGCATCCCATCAGAAAGTTGCTGAGCACTGTGAAGAATAATTATTATGTGCGTGTACATAGCAATTTTTTGGTGCCATCAATGAAAATGTTTGTTCCATTTTTCTGTAACATGCAAAAAGTCTTTAACCTCTGTCCAAACAGTAAATGTTTGGCAATCAAACACCTTCAAACATTGTTTGGTGAACAAACATTGTTTTGGACTGAACATTTTCCCATTTGAACACCATGTTTGAACATGTTGAATCATGTTCGATAAAATTTGAATGAAGTCAGGCATTTGATCAAACACAGTGAAACATTTTCCCATTTGGATGGCTTTGTCAAACATGTTTTGTGTGTGCATGCATTCTGAGCTCACTCATGAGCTTATTGTGTGCCTATAGCTTGTTGTTTACCTTCAATTAGGTACAGTGTAGCTGTATAAATAATCATTAGAGAATTTAAGCAAATCACTACGGCTGGTACTACTATGGCTGCCATGACTGAAAAGGTCTGGTGAGAGTACGTCTCGGTGGTCTGCCAAATTTTAAGTTTAGCAAAGCAAAATTCAAAGATGAGAGAAATATCGGCTCAGGAGTTTAAAATCTCTTTTTTTTAGTTTCTCACAGCCAAATTAAATAGCTTCGCTCAAAGGATGCTGGCCGTTATTTGCCTTCCTAGGACGAAGAGATTATTTCTGAGTGAAAGCGAATGCCATACAGTTTGTACCATAACAATTTGATGGATGAAAATTAATATATAGTTTCAGAGACAATATCTCAAAGAATATTGAGTGAAGAACAGAAATATATCGATACTCAAAGAAGCAAAATAGCATCGTAAGACTTATAGTTATCCAGATATAAAACATCTTCACTAAACCCTCAAAGCAAACTTATCCAAAGAAAGACAACCTCGTGCTCAACACGAATATTTCAGTTTAAAACTCACTTCACCTTTCCAACACCTTTGCCAAAACTTATCGTGAATTCAGGATACGGATTTGCAAGCTTATGAGAGGCAACCTTGACACAATCTTTGACTTAAATTGACTTTAAAGGATATAGTATCCAATGGAATTCTTAAAATGCCAAGATGTCCATTGAAAAGGGCCAGAGAAGTGAAATAAACCTGACATGAATGAATGAATGAATGCTTTATTTAACGAGGATATACGCTTAGCTTGAGAGCTAGTTTACAGGTATTCCACCTAATAACTAACGAGAACCTAACAACTAAACAACGCTAATATCACAATTCATGAGGTAAAAGTCACAAATTAAATACTGATTAAAACTATTCAAAACTATTATTACAATATTACCGCCGCAGTCAAAATACTATTAAAACTAAGTTAATAAAGATGATGAATTTTAAGCTCGGTAATGAAATGTGAAGGTGAATTAATCAACATGACATGAGCARGGGACAAAGAAAAATTCTGAGTCCCCGACAGGAATCGAAACCCATGACCTCCCAAACACTGGGCTTAAAATTCACCATCTTTATTAACTTATCACTACTCATGATGACTTCGATAGCATTGATCCTAGCAGTATGCAGGACACCTGTCATATATGATCTCAGTTAAATGACCTTGCTCTCCATGAGTTCTCGTAGCTCAGTGGATAGAGCGTCCGCGCGGTGTTCGGGAGGTCATGGGTTCGATTCTTGTCGGGGACTCGGAATTTTTCTTTGTCCCACACTCGTGTCATGTTGGTTAATTCACCTTCACATATTGAAACTAATGTCACAAATTTACTAATCCCCGAAATTTAGTGATCTAATTCTGTTTACTATTTCATTGGTGCCTACTTTTATTCCAATGTCATTTGATAGTTCATTCCATTTCTTGGCTGCAAAATATCTCCATGACTTGAGTCCATATTTGGTAGTGTTAACTTTGGGTAAAGATAAAACATATTCTTGGCACCTGAGATTGTACTTATTTTAAATGAGCATAAATTAATAAGATTCCTAATTGCCCATGGTGCTTTGTTCAATATGCTGTTATGTATAGTAGTAATGACATGGTAGCCACTATGGCAAAACATCCCGACTCACGTAGTCAGATTTCACGCTGCAGTTGGATGCAACCGATGTACATGCACAGTGTCTCATTTTGGGGGGAATTCACTTCCAGCAGCCATATCAGTGCCAGCTGTAGCAATTTGCTTTAAGTCCCTATTGTCTTGTTGTGGCACAATACTCTTAAAACTAACACAGGAAGAAGTGTATATTAAAAAAAAAATAACACTTGACTATGTATGACATTTGCATGCACTGCAACAATGTGCATGAAATAAATTTCATTCAGGAAAATGAAATGTACTGCCTATGCCTGTATGGTCAGCCTCTAAGAAACCAGAACAGACAAGCAAACAAACTAATGAATATTGGTTAATTTGGGTTAAAAATTTTTATCTTCCAGTGGCTGATGTGAAGGCAGCTAAAGCCTTTAAGGCACCAGGTAATTTGACGGAACTTCACACTTATGTCTCTTATATGAAAGATAAATCAGGGATACATGGATGGACAGAGCAACAACATCTCTTACAGGTGAGACTTTTCATTTGCCTTTCTCTTGTTACCACAAATGTATCATCAAATAATTTATCTTTTTGTAGTATTGCTGTAATTATTGCAATTTAAGTAGAACTTCATCATTCTTGATACATGTAGTAGTATTGCTGCAACAAAAACTTTACTAAGAATGGTAGACATATAACAGTGCCCTTAGGAATTTCAGTCTGTTCTAACTTTTAATAAATGAGTAAATATATTTTATTTGCTTAGTATGTTTTCCCCCATACAATACCTTTTTTAAGTTTTAAATTGTTTTTATACAGTCCATTGGAACAAAAGACTACTGTCCTGTATTACAGAGTCCTCATCAACCTGCAAGAACAGGTTAGTAGCTTTTTTGGATAAAATATTAAAGATTAGGTATTAGCGTATTTCTAAGCCTTGTTATGTATAAATAAACAATTGCCTACATTTGGCATGCAAATATGGATGGATATTAATTTTGTCCATGGACATTACAGTTTTCCAAGAGCGGAAAACTATGAGCTTCGAGAAACAGATAATGTTGGCGATCAAATATCCGAACATATTTTCGCGATGAATGGAGACTATTGTGTTTGTTATCCTTCAAGTATTTTTCGCAGCACGTGCAGTTTCCAAAATTAGGGAATATCATTGGGATATTCCCCAGTTTGAGCTGGGGAATATTTAGTCCTGTGACTCGTTTAGACCAGTCGTGCACGAGTGAAAATATTTGATAGATTAGAGCACTAGACATTGTTGGGTCTTTGCTTGAAACTGAAAAGTTGTGGTTCACTGTAAGTGAATAATTTTTATGATAATTTGTTTTTGGTTCAATTATTCTCAAAACAGACAAATCTTTACTTTCCTTTATTTCAAAAAATGATCAAATTGGATTTGAAACAAGGGAAAATAAAATCAAACTGGTTTTAGTCAGAAATTTAAAGCTTCAAAAACCGAATTTAGATCATAACACAAGAAGTGAGGGAATATCAACGATCAGAATGCCGGCTGTAACAGAGTGAACTGTGTGATCAGACAAGATTTCTGTGTTATGTGCAGAGCTGCCTGTTGAGCAAGGGTCATCCATGGTTATAATACTAATGCCTAAGAAATCTAGTTAGTGAGATCTTTTGCTCATATAAATCCAGATTAGGACTGTCAGTAAGGGCTATAACCAGTAACACCTGTTATGGCTGAGTATGTTTGATGGGCTCTTGATGTTATGAGTGAATTGCCTGTATTTTGTACAATTCACCCAAAAAGTAACAAGTTTTTTTGGGGGTATAAAGATCAGGGCTACAGGTGACTCAAAACCTTATAACAACCCTGCAAGTGTTAAATTTCCTGACAAGATCAGACCAAAACCAAACAACTTATTACCATTGTTTGCATGGGCAATGTATCTTGACCACCAATCAACAGGTACTTTTGATAGTAAAATTTTGCCATGTTCTGATATGCAATATGATCTGTATGACTTGTCGGCCGAGTTTTACTGTCTGGACCTAAACTGTGATAAAAAGGACTAGTGAATTGAATTGGTGAGGTATAAATTATATGATGATGTTTTATCCCACAGTTCATCAATTGCACCCATCTGACATCAAAATTGTTGCTGCCATGGGCGATGCATTTACAGTAAGTTATACAAGATTTGCTATAATTTTAATGATAGTGAAGTAAAACAGGTTGCTGAAGTGTATTTTTTCCTTCACAGTCGATCACAGCTCTGCTAATTATTATTATTATTATTATTGTTATTATTATTTACATTTGAATTTTACCTTTTTATTTTAAGGTGGGACTTGGAGCAAGAGCCTCGTCAGTAAATGGATATTTCACTGAATACAAAGACATCTCATGGAGGTGCATACTGTTATTTTATGTCAATGACCAGTTTATATATTTTTTAATGTCTTATGTTCATTGTCACAGTCTGAAAATCAAAATGGTTTGAAAAATTTGTAAATCCAAAATAAACTTAAACAACAATAGAAAGCAAATTATGAATTTGGCAGGAGGCGCTGGAAGGTCCAATGTTCCTGCTCAGGTTATATTATCAATACAGTGTACTTAGGATTAATAATGATGTTCAAAAAATCAAAATGACAGTTTGGTTTCATTATAGCATTGGAGGAGGAAACTGTTTGAACCAAACAACAACTATACCAAGTGAGTGATATTTTAAGTATTGATACTGAACAGTGAATAAATGCTAGGAAAGTACAGTACTTGCAGAGTTGTGGTAATCCAGGATTTGAAATGAGGCTTATCCAGAGTCCAAAGAAAATCAGTTTTCCAGTCATTTTCACTAACCTGACAAAAGATTCCCACTGCTACTAATAATAATTAAATTAAAATTTAAAATTATAGCGAAAACAATAATTTGAACTTTTACAGCACTTCTGTAAAATCTTGAATTTTTTTTCACATTTTACCTAAAACATTAGTCTGCCAGCCAGCCCTGTCAAATGGTGGATAACATTATCCACCAGGTAAATTACTATCCACTGGATAAGCATATTGTGATTTGTCTGGTGGATAGTGCTACCCATTCTTTGAACAACTGCATGTACAGTAGGGCAAGAGATGCGTTTCAGTCAGGTTTAGTGAACTCTATTGTGAAGTAGGCGGCAAAATTGCTTCCTTCCAGGGTGTGGCTCACCTGTCATTATTTTAAAGACCTGCTCAGACTTGTGTCCAAGATCAGTGTGAATTCTTAAATAAATGAAATCACTTAAGCTTGTCAATTCAAGTATGACTGGTAAAATGTAGCAAGCAATATATGTTCCCATTGCAAGTTATTACATCATTCAGTTACAGCTTTTAACATAGCTTACAGACAAAACTACAAAATGAAATCCTCTTTTGACAACTAATGTACATGTGAATTTTGAAATTTACAGATATTATTAGACAATTTAGTCCGTCATTAAAGGGTGCATCAACTAAGACCTCAGAGAGGGAAGATAGCTTTGATGCTGATCTTAATGTTGCCTTCCTTGGTGCCTCTGCAAGGTTTGTGATTAAAAATAAGTAACATTATATATTTTAAATTTAAATTCACCTCAACTTGTCTTCATTCAAGTAGTTTTTTGTACTATGCCTTGAGAGAATTTGATGTTTAATCAACAAATTTTTCTGAACTGAAGATGATGAGTGATGTCATTCTCATAACCTGTATGCTTGAATTTGGTATGAAACAGTGATGAGAAATTAGTAGTTAACCACTGTTGGGCAATTAAAGTAGGATGAGCAAGAGTAAAACTGCATAATCAAGCCTCAGGTGACCCATCAGGCCCATATCTATTTAATTTACTCGTGAATGGACAGATGCATTCATGGATGAGTGCTTGGTATAAAGGAGATGTCTTAAGTTATGGTCACTTACTAAAGGACAAAAAATTGTTGTTGCAGTACATTGTTTATTACAAGTATTGCATATTGTATTCAGTTGAAATGTTACATGTATTTAATTCATTGCCCTACACAAAAAAATGTTCTAATTTGAAGCTTTGTATTTGTTCTAAAAGGGATCTTGAAGGTCAAGCGAAAGACCTGGTTTTAAAACTGAAAGCTATGAAGGTAACTATAAGTCCATATCTTGTAGCCGAACATTAAAATTATTAGATTTATTACATTTGATAATTAAGAGACAAGCCTGTTTTTGTGATTTTGTTTGTGTGTTTATAAAATTATGGTTTATTAACAGTTGGTTTTGCATCTTAATCTCATTTGGTCAGGCTTGTAGACACACATGCCAAAAATGATGATACCAGTCAAAATTAATATTTGTTTAATTATTAATTAAATTAATTAATTGTGATCTGTATCGTTATAACAGGATATTGACTATGAGAGTGATTGGAAGCTTCTAACCATTTGGATTGGAACAGAAGATCTTTGTCAAGTGTGTAACAGTGAGGTAGGCAATGGTAACTACAGTATATATGATTGTATAGTACAGTAACAGACATAGCTAAGTGTAAGCTGCATAGTCTTCTGAGGTGAAGCTCTTGGCTAGATCTTGCCTCATGAAACCCTTGAGGAAGAGTGTTGTGAGCTGTGAGACATTACTCTTAACTAAGCAAAGAGTTTCATCTCATCTCCAAAGGAAGAATAATGTTGTTAATGACTCTTGAATCTTCTCTGGAGTTAAGACTTAACCGGTAATTGTATCTCTCTCAATTTCAATTTATTATAAGAGGTTATTAGATTAATACAGATTGTTTACCCTTAATACCAAGATTTCTCTTTACATATTGAAATTAATAGTGAAGAAAATACACTTAGAGTTGAGTATTTATTGATTATTGTTAAAAAGTTTTATTGTTCATTTTTAGGACGAATATGGTGCTGGCTCTTTCATAAAAAATGTGATGCACACACTAAAGTATCTTCAAAATGAGGTAAGAACTTCTTTGTGTCATAAAGAAACATCACATGCAAGACAGTACAGTGGCACGGCTGATCAGTCATCATGAACTGATCAAATTCTGATGTGTTGCATGTGAAGGTGAATTATCACTACTAACAATGGTGAATTTTTTTAGAATGTTATGCTTGCTTTGCATGTTCAATTTGCAGTTCCAGAAAATTCATGTATCCATAACCATCCCACCCCCCCCCCCCTAACGGAAGGGATTGGAATTTCCTGGTGGTGGGAGGGGGGTATGGGCCGGTTGTGTAAGACCAAAGCATTTAAAGAAATGTATGAAGCTTTATTGGAATTTCCATAGGGGTGAAAAGGGGGGGGAGAAAAAATCTCTTGTGTGGGGGAAGTATGGATATTTTCTGGAACTACACAATGTGTCCCTGCATGTGCCACTTTCAAACTCCCTAAATTGAAATTAGGTGCATTGTGAATGAAGTGCTTCTGTAGTTTGCTTAATAGTACAATGAAATCTACTCACAGAATCGTTGCCTTTAATCTATGTTTATTAATATCTTGTTGTTATCACTTGTAGGTTCCCATGATGTTTGTGAATATTGTTCCACCCATGGATGTCTCTTCTCTCTACCAGTTACATGAACAAGAGTCATGCCAAATTCTGGGATGGTATGTTTTTAAAACTGTTGACCACTGTACTAAATTGACCCACATTGACCCAAACAAAACAAAGCAAACAAACAAACAAACATTATTGAAAGCACCTGAATGTGATTGTCTATAGTGTGCCTCAGTAACACGATTAGTTAAGTCTCCTTTTTAAACATCTAGTACATAGTAAATAATAATGTCTCACATTGGTTTAACATTAGAGACAGACTATTACTGTAACATTAGGGATTGGGGTTGGGTAATTCTCAAGCTATACCCAATTATTTTTTTCTGGTCGTTTTCCATTCAAGAATTTTTTTGTGGTTAGATCTCATGCATGAATCATTTTTTCATCTTGAGGGTTAAAAAGAAAATGTTATTGTGCCACTTAAATGAAGGATTTCTTTGGGGGAGTTGCTTGCTATAGATGAATTTTTTTTCATGCAATTTTTCTACATTTTTTGGGGGAATTTTTCCCAAGCCCATAGCTTCACATCATTTTTGTTTTTTCTCCAATCCTCCTCCATAACTTTGCTAATGGTCCATTCCATAGTAAGAATGATATGACAACCAATCAGAGATGCCAGGCAGTTCTGACTGGAGGGGATTGTCACTGGGATGGATTTGTTTCAGACATCTGTCCGTGGAGCAATTGATTCAAGGTTTCTGAAGAATACATGTATGTAGGCCAGTTGGCGTATTGTACTGAGTGATGCTCTGTTTTTGTGCAGGGATTCTTGTGAGTGTTTGAAGAAAGGTGATGCTGAGAGGTTGAAAGTAGCCAAAGAAGCTAAACAATGCAAGGTACCTGCATGACATTTCTTTACCCTGCAAATGTTATGTCTGCGGTAACTACTGTAGTTAGATCACATCCTTTCACATTGAAAATGACTGAAGCCTTCCGCTTAAAAAAATGATGGTAATTATAATAATTACATTAGATATATAATTGTATTTCAAGAGTTGTGTCTGACTCAGTTATAAATTTTTAAATGCAGTCAAACATTCTCTAATGGCCAGCAGTCTACATTGGCCTGAATTGTTCTTTCCAATCATGCACTGATCTATAGATACACTTAACTGTTACTGAAAGCCTCATGCAGTCTTGCTCACAGTAGTTCAACCCAAGGGACAATGGTGGCCACTGTAGAGAATTTGAACAGAACTGTAAATATTTGAAAAATAATTATGATCATCTCTTATGCGTAGTTATTAACATAAACCTACTCTATTAAAAGTGTATTCTAGGCAATTTGTCTTGCTGCTTCTCGCACAATGACATTTTAATTTTTGTGCCACTGTGAGACAAATTACATGACAAATTAGGGAGTCTGAAAAACTACAATGCGACATCAAGGACAACATAGATTAAAAAATGAATTTACATTATACCTACAAATCTTGTGATACCATAAAGTCATTTAGTTTGTTTCTCTTTGTCAAAACTATCTTGAAACTGAATATGGAACACAGCATAAAATTTGAAGTATCAATTTCAAAAATTATCTGTCTTGATTCAAGTTCTCCAGACAATGCAGAATTTGGTCGTTTCACATTGTTGTTTTGCAGTGAACAGTAGAGAAGTGTACCAAGAATTATAATACACCATCACAGCCATTGTTCTGCTCATTAAAACCTTTTGTTTAGTGGCTTTCCCCTGGCCATTGTTGTTGTGGTTTTCTTAAACTCCCTATTGCCTAGTAGAACACTCTCGGATATAAGCATGTCTAGGAAAGTTTTTATTGCAGTAACTGTTGTAAAAAGTCAGGTGTGTTTCTACTTTGTGCAATGCTTGTTGCAACAAAAGCATTGCAATTGAGCAATCATTTCAGGGGATGTTGCACAAGGCAATTTTTCATGCAGCATTTGAGGTAGTAAAATTGCAAGACATGTTGCAAGAAAAGTTGCCCCGTGTTAAAATACCTCAATAATGCTTATGAATTGTCTCTCAACAAAAGTATCTTCTAGAAGAACTTGTGAACAGTGGTTTGTATGGAACAAAGGACAGCTTTGCTGTGGTTATTCAACCCGCCCTTCAAGTGCCACCGAAAGCTAAGGTAAGGCTGTATGTACTGCTGTGTACAGTGTTTTCATTAGTTTTATCTTCCCCGCAAAATGTGCTACCTGTATTTCGTAACTGTACAGTACTTTGCATTTAACATACAGTACTGTTGTTTCAGTAGTGTTACAAAAGGAAGCAGACTTTTTCAACATTTATAACATCCATTTTCTGGAGGCAGTGCATTAAATTGGGTTTAATCGAGTGTTTGTTATGTGATGTGTCTGTTCAGAAATGGAATGTGTAGGTTTTTTACCCAAGTATTATGTTTTAATGACAAAACATTTCAGTTGACACAAATTGGGGACATTGCCATGTTGGTTCTTTTTTCCCAGCAGAGTGGTGATTTAGAGAAAACCTATTTTGGTGTGGACTGCCTTCATTTCTCAGTACATGGCCATGCAGCAGCCGCTTTGGCTTTGTGGAAGAATATGGTTTGATTAAACAATGAAAACATATCAATCCTAAAACCTCATGATAAGTAATAGTAATTGGACCAAGTGGAGTGCAATTCAGGGAGTAATCACGCGAGTAATTTCAAAATTGGACGAGCGTGAAGTGCGAGGTCGATTTGAAATTGTGAGCATGATTACCCCCTGAATTGAACGACACGAGGTCCAATTACTAATTAATTGTATCTGTAACAAATTTCGGAATTAAAAATGTCTTTTGAGAACTTCTTTTGAGCGAAAACGTCTGTAACTCTTTTCATAAGTTTTGAAAACTGTAGGAAACAGTGTGAAAGTAGCCATTAAAGCACGCGTAATTGACGTGTGAATCACGTGGGTATCCAATTACAGGTAATTAGTTGAGGTAACAATTACACAGGTCTGTAATTGGACACCCATATGATCACGCGCCAATTACGTGACAAATAGGCGTGCAGAGAACCAATCATGATCGAGAATTTTGTTATAGGTACGATTAAAGTTTTAATCGTATCTGTAACAAAATTCTTGATCGTGATTGGTTCTCTGGATGCCTATTTGCCATGTAATCAGTGCCCGATCATGTGGGTGTCCAATTACGGGTATCCCATTTCAACTTTTTGTAACGGCGTATATAACTGCGTACCTACACCATGCGCACATCAGATACATGAACTTTAATGTGGTCCTTCCTAATGGTCCCTACAGTTTTTAGTGTAGAGTGCACTATTGGGATGGTTTAGGGGGCTGCTGTTCGCTAAGACACTAATGTACTAATGCCATAAGGTGTAAACTTTTATGTTTGTTTAATTGATTAATTTCAATTAATCAATTAGCCTTGCGGGAAGGGGGGCTGGGTGCAGCAGGTACCTGAGTGCACTACGCAAAACGTGTCATATTTACGTTGCCTTCTTTGATAACGTGGCAAAAATATACAGTCATATGGTTTTGCAAATCTCATGCTAACCTTGTGGTGCCATTCTCTCAAGAACAGAAGCAATTTGCTCTAAACGTACGCACAGATTAGTAAGCATCAAAGTTGACCATATGTTAGGTGAAAAACACATTTCATAGCATATAAGACGCATGCGTTCTAGCATTGCTAGTGTAATAAACTCCGTTCTTGAGTTCAGATGCATGTTTTTTTT